TTGATTTGTCGTCTCCACTCATTTCCAAGCGATTCAATGCCACGTGTTTTCAATTCAATGCAAACCAACGATTACTTTGCCGTCCAATAAAAGTGACCCAAACTTTCACTCAAACACTCAATCGATTCCTAAATATATAAAATTTAATTCACTTTTAATTTTAATTTCGCACAAAATTTATAAATTGTAAATAACTGTTACGTAAACTATAATAAACTTTACTTGCGATCAAAAACATTGATTTGTTGTCATTTCAATGCATTATAATTGACATACAGTTTGTTCGCGTAATCCATACATAATGTCTCGCATTTCTATTCCCCTTATATTACAATACAATTGAATCGAAAGCACTATTTATTGCCGTAATTTCTGTCTTATTCTATACGACAACCCCTTATAGAGAAAGCCTGAAAATGCAGACCTGTTTCCCACCAAACTTTGTATTTGTGTCACTCAATGGTATAGTCTATAAGTGGTGTAAATGTGTGCTAACGTGGGATACGGTTGTGTATAATGTTGTGTAAACAATGTATGCTATAATAGTTGTAACGGTTTTTAGCCATTTTGTGTTGACTTACGAAAGCCTCCCAGACTTCCCGTTAATTTCAACGCCGAGTCTCTGGAGATCTCGAGTCCCATATCACTGGAAATGGAGTCCACGAACTCAACAAATTCACCCATCAATTCAGCTTCTAATCCGAGATTAAACTCAAGAGGTGTGGCTATCACTGCACCCATAGCTACAGCTGATGACACAACTGAATCATTACGACCTATACGTCCCGCTCCTCCGCCTCCGATCTCTACTAACACATCCATATCTCGGACCTCAAGTATGCGCTCCTCTAATAGGAGTGCTTCGGGCAGACCATTGAGTTTTAATTGCGCGCGTCCTTCACAACCGCCGCCGCCACGACCTCCGCGTCCGTACGCCAACACTCAGGACAACGATTTGTCGAAAATACAACCCTTAAACACACCAGAATTCAGAGCAGATAAGCCTTTGCCACCGCTTCCGACCACAAAACCGGCCATTAGTTTGCGGAACAATAGCACCGCTAAGCAGACATCTGTCGCCAATTTGGCCAAAAGATTTGAGAAAACTAACCACAATTAAGACGAGTATTTTTAATGCAGATTATTTTTACAAGAATCGGACGCCTCTCTAGTCTTGAAATGAGTCGTTTTAATCTCTTTACAGTTAAATGAATGGACACTCAAAATATACATTTAATTTATATCAAATGTTAACAAAATATAATGATTTCATTTTTACAAGAATCGGACGCCTCTCTAGTCTTGAAATGAGTCGTTTTAATCTCTTTACAGTTAAATGAATGGACACTCAAAATATACATTTAATTTATATCAAATGTTAACAAAATATAATGATTTCAATGAAAAACTTGTATTTATGTTTGAAATTGTGTGGTTTTATCAGTTTTTATCGCGTATTAGAAAACATTAAATTTTTAAGATTTATTGGAAAGATAAACATTTTGTGTAAATCTAAATATATTTTTAAATTATAAATTATTTTCTGTAATATAGTGTACAGTTAGGAGAAGAGAAAGTGTTTGGTTTATAATGAGTTGTTTATAAAGAGAATGTTAAAGAAGAATAAATAAAGTGAAAGTTATTTTAGAGAATTTTAGAGAATTGGCAGATATTTAGTAAATTATAGACATTTAGAATCAATGTTAATATAATATATTATAGAATGTTTAGCAATACATTGTGAATCTGGAATATTTTATGGTAAAATTTTTATTATTTTACTAGTCTTTTAACGAGAATTATAATTGTTTTTAAACGAAGTGTGAAATATGGAGAAGAAGGGTATGTTTTCGATAAATTCCAGTCCTTTGATAAAAACCATTTAATTTATAATTTCGAAAAATACATAAACATTGAAATCAACACATATTTTACTCATAAATTTTGTTAACATTCATTAAAATGAGTGCATATTTATAATAAATGATGTAAACGCTGTGCTCTTTATAGAAATTTAATTTAATTTATTTTAAATCAAACATATATTAAATTATACAAATTATAAAACCAATGGTTATCTTCTTTGTGTTTTCTTCTTCTTCTTCTGAGTGGGTCTCTGTTGTCGCGGCCCCTGAGGAGAGCTCACCGCTGCGGTCGACGCCTTCGGAGTCGTCACTTTAATGTCACTATTTTTTACAAAACAAATCATTAGTCGTTAACATAAATACAGATGTTATGCAAACAATCAATGCTATCAATCGAGACATACAGTTCTCCGACGGCTCCCTGCGTTCCTTTGCCCACACTTTGTTGTCCGCGTTTATCCTTCTTCTTCTTATATGTGGACCTCTCATACTTCGGGAGCCATCTCTCGGGATCGGGTTCTACTTTCGGGTCGTAATTCTTCGGCAGTTTTGTCTTTTTCTTCTTCTTCTTTTTCTTATCAGTCGTTGCGTTCGGATTGACATTCGGTGTCTCGGTTTTGGTCGTCTTCTTCACGTATTTGGCGCCTAACGACCAGTTGCTGGTCTCCAACTGTTCCACATCTATCTCTTCGATAATGCTCTCAATCGGTGGCAGATCTTTACTGATCCTGTATTACAGATAGATGTAAATTAAGAATTAATTGTAATTCAAATCAAATATAACACTCACTCATTGGCCTTTTGGGGATTGAATTGGGAATAAGCGCTAATCAGAAGCGATAAAATGTTGTGATTTTTAGGATTCTTTTTGCGCAATCTCTCCAACAGTTTGACGGCCGCTTCGGGTTGATTGGTGTCCATTAAGAATCGAGCGTTTTCTCGATACAGAGCATACAATTGTGGACTTTCGGGCTTTCAATGACAAATTTAAACTTGACTTAAAATTTATGTCTTTTGTGATAAAATAAGCGCTCAAATCATACCATATTCTTCTCATACCAATTGACAGCTTCGGTGAGCAGAGAAGTGGCGGACTTTTTGTCATCCAAATGGAGATACAATGAGATTAAAGTGGAAATGATTCCAGTTTTATAGGTCTCGTCTCCCAAAGACCGCAACACATGACACGCGTCACTAATGTCTCCGTTTTTAATGAGAAGTTGTGCCAAAACTAACGGCACTTCAAGCAATAGATTTTTGTTGCCTTTAATGGATTGTTTGAGGAAATTGATGGCATCCAACACTTTCTTCTCTTTGCACAGAAGGGCTGCTTCTAAGAGAACCGCTTCTGATATCTGTTGCGGAAATTTCTTCTTTATTTCTTCCATTTGTTTCCGAAAGGAATCGCTTTGATTGGTGTGAAGCAGAAGAAGACAGTTATTAAAGAGAATAGTCTGGCGCTGAAGTAAAAACAGTTTCGACTCCAAGGCTTCACTCAAAGCGGTTTTCATCTTTTTCTTCGAGTCAAAGACATTCTGGTCTTTATTAATGGAGACGACATTATTGGACACAACGGCCAACAAAGCGGTATCGCTGGGTCTGAACACAACACAAGGCGTTAGTATTTGAGACATCAATACCTAAAAACTCACTTTTGTTTAAGGACTTGATTATACATGCGAAGAGCCGTGTCGTCCTTCTTCTGCAATTGATAACAATATGCGATTTGAGTCCTAATGATGGCGAGCTCTGACTCGATCTCCTCCTCAGTGGCGCCGTCCTCTTCTAACGTCTTCCGACACATGTCTGGCGTTCATAATTGGTTAATATCTAATCAAATCAATCAATTATTGCAAACCTTCGGCGGTATTGAGCTTTTGAAGTGCTTCGTCGAAAAGACCGGCGCCTAATAGAGCGCAAGCCTTGTTGTAAATCAGTTCGTATGTCTGTTCTTCAATCGGATGTTTGGATTTAATGGATTCCTGTTTGCAATTAATGCTAAGACTGGCCACAACTGCAGCCAAATTGGTCTGTCGTTCGTCTTCGTAGTCGTCATCAGAATTCTTAATTAAATCCAAGTATTGATCAAAACATTCATCAAATCTTTCCAATCGGTATAACTATAAGCAATTCAATAACAATTAGTAAACAATCATCTGTTATGTCATATTAACGGTTCCACTGACCGCTTGAGCGCGCAGTTCTTTGACACGAAAGTCCGGTTCTTTAAGTGAATCCAATGTATCGATGGCTTCCTCCACATAATTGAGCCGATATTCACAATAAGCCCTTTCGTACTTCAGTTGTTGTCTATAACGCGAGACAAATATTTCAAATCAATTAAAATGAGTCCATTTGTGAACCGATGGCTGAGTTTACGCTAAGTCAGGATCGCTTTGCTTCAATTGATCCAATCGAGTGATCGCGTCCTCAAACAAACCCAATTGGATTTGACACACAATCTGACACTCAATCGCCTTCTGGTTCTGTTTGTCTTCATTTAATACTAAATTCAATTCAATCACAAATCCAATGAGAAATGTATTTGAAGTGTAAAGCGATGGTCAAAATGATGGTCAAAATGTAGTTACTTTTGTGGGTGACCTGAAGTGCTTTGTCGAAGTCGGCCAACTGTTCCAATCGCGACAAATCACTGAACAATTGACTCAAATTGTGGTTTGATTTGTCGTCTCCACTCATTTCCAAGCGATTCAATGCCACGTGTTTTCAATTCAATGCAAACCAACGATTACTTTGCCGTCCAATAAAAGTGACCCAAACTTTCACTCAAACACTCAATCGATTGCTAAATATATAAAATTTAATTCACTTTTAATTTTAATTTCGCACAAAATGTCTAAATTGTAAATAACTGTTACGTAAACTATAATAAACTTTACTTGCGATCAAAAAACATTGATTTGTTGTCATTTCAATGCATTATAATTGACATACAGTTTGTTCGCGTAATCCATACATAATGTCTCGCATTTCTGTTCCCCTTATATTACAATACAATTGAATCGAAAGCACTATTTATTGCCGTAATTTCTGTCTTATTCTATACGACAACTCCTTATAGAGAAAGCCTGAAAATGCAGACCTGTTTCCCACCAAACTTTGTATTTGTGTCACTCAATGGTATAGTCTATAAGTGGTGTAAATGTGTGCTAACGTGGGATACGGTTGTGTATAATGTTGTGTAAACAATGTATGCTATAATAGTTGTAACGGTTTTTAGCCATTTTGTGTTGACTTATGTGTTGTTTTGCCAATAATTGCATTCATTTATGATTTAATCGTTTTTTCAACATTTCATTCATTTATAAATTGTTTTTCGTTTGAAATCTGTTTTCAAAAACATTTGTCAATCAGTTTTGATTGAAGAGAGAAAAAGGTTTGGTTTTTAACAAATGGTTTTCGTTTGTAAACACTATTCACTCATTAATTGTGTTCACAATTAACAGGCATTTGATTTGAGGACAACTTTGAAGACAATGGACGCCACGGATGGGGATGAAGACGAAGAGATGCTGAGAAAGGCTGCGCTCAAGTCAATGGCTTTGAAGGATAAATCCAAAGATACCTCCGATTTGAAGAAACGCAACAAAAATGTGGTCAAAAGTAATAACAATTACTATAAGAATAGTCACCGAAATAACGGCTCAAAGCATTCAAATCTGATTGTTTTGACCAAAACTGAGCCCCAAATGCCAGACATCACCGAAAGTGAGTCAAAGAATTACACGAAAATCAGTGATAAGAAGACGTCTTGCGATGTGTGGAAAGGGAGTGAACAGAAGGGAAGCGTTGGTCCCGAGAGGTTCAGCCGATATGAACGCAACGACTCAACCGATGAGAGCGACGAAGACAGCGATGACGACAGACACTCATTCACTGCCACCGCAAACGCATGCGAAGACATCATTACTCCCGCCAACGTTGACATGAATTCTAGCGAACAGTTATTATGTGAAGACATTAATGACTCCGACAAATGTGTTGATAATAACAATGACTTGAATTGTATAACAAATCGATTAACGAATTGTAATAACGAATCAAAAGACGATTTGAGCACAACTTCGACCGCCGAAGACGTGATCGACAAAAAGGAACCAAAAGAGAGAATTAAATTGAATTCATTTAACGATATCTCAAAGACATCGGTCTTCGAGCGAAGGAAACAGAAATTTGGTCCAACAAGTGATGGAAGCGCTCACAACTCGGACGACAAAACGAGTTTGAGTACCGACTCATATGAAAGCAATAATACTATGAATGCGAACACAAACACCAGAATTAGTGTTAAAAGTCGTTTGTCTGACAATTTGAGACCAAAAGAGAGGTCTTATTCCTCTAAGTGTAGATCTAGTAATTCTAATCATAGTATTAATAGTAATCATAATAACAATAAAGAGATTGACAGGCGTTTCAAACATAACTCAAAGAAGGCATTTGAGCGACAAATGGACTTAAATGGCGACGATTTCAGAGATTGTGATAATTCTTCGTCTAAGAAAAGGTTACGTTCTTTTGTGGTAATGAAATGATTGATTGGTTTTTGAGGTAATATTTTAAAGCCTTTGTAATTATTGTTTATTATATTTATTAAGTATTTATTATGAGAATTAAGTGATATATTCTGTGATAAAGTATTTACTTATACTGAAGAAATGCCTGTTTTGTATTGTATTTAAATATTTAAAACTATTAACTAATAATTGCTCAAAAAATTAAGTCTGAATTAATGTTAAAAATAATTTGTATTAATATTTAACTTAAAAATTGCTTTCACTCTCAGGTATGTGTTATTTGAGTATAAAAATGAAATTTTCATTTCATTTGTCACAACATTTTAAATCGATATACATTTGGATAATAATAATCATCAAAAACAAGATATTTGTACAAAAAATTAATAATTAATAATAATAATGAAATAAGTTTTTTAATATTAAATATTTCGATTCACTTATTTTATTAATTATATTCAATATTGACATGAATTTAAATAAAAATAATGTTTTAGTTAATTTAATTTGTAGTTTTAATTTGTAATTATTATTATTTAAATTATATTTAAATCATTATTCATCATGCTATAAATCATAATGATTTATATGGCCATGCTCGTATTTCACACTCATATCTCGTTTGTCAAAAAATTGATTTTTAAAAAGTTTTGGAATATTGTTTTCGTTTATCATTTCCTCTTTGTTACACATATTTAGTTTTTGTCGTGATTTTTATATGAGATTAACGGGGAATAAAAGTGAGAGTCTTTTGTATGTGAATAGACTTTGTATGTGATGTGCAATAGTTGTGAAGAGCAGTACAGCCGGCGTTGTGAGGGAAGTCACAAACTTGTAGATTACGATTGAAATGAGTTCCCGGAGCGCAGCTCTGCTTATGATACCGACAGTTATGGCAGTTATAAAATGAACAACAATCCGACGGATTCGCGTTTAGACCTATAAATACGTGTATCGTGTAATTCAATCACAAATCCAATGAGAAATGTATTTTGAAGTGTAAAGCGATGGTCAAAATGATAGTTACTTTTGTGGGTGACCTGAAGTGCTTTGTCGAAGTCGAAGAGAGAGAGAGAGAGAGAGAGAGAGATTTAACGTTTTTAGGGAAATAATAAGTTATTTAATGATGAGTCGTTTAAATTTTAAACTTTAAAATGTATTCTAATTTTCAATGCCGTAAGATTTAAAGGCTTTGGTTAGCGATTATTTAATATTTAATATCCTTACGGTTATCTAGAATTCATGAGAGCCTTAAAAACTATGCCTAGAAATGTAATCATCAATAAATTTACAATAATGAAAGTTATTTTAATTTGCAACCAAATAACAAAAACAACGATATTTTATTAGAGACTTGCAAAGAATCGACGCCTACTTATGGCATGTGTTCTACAGATTCTATAGAAATGAATTGAATTTTTATTCATTTGAGAAATATAGTAAATTATTTAACTATAAACTACCAAACATTTACTTTTACATTAAACAACATAGAATATTTTCATATTGATTATTATCCGGTATTATTATTTCATATTTTCAATATATTACAAATCATTACGATTCGTATAATCTGAATGTAACAATAGATTAATAATTGAATGATTATATACAGTATGCCATTTGTGTGAATAAGGTAATTTGGGTTATAATCTTATGGCTGAACAGCAATCATAGGACAATTAATTGATAAATTGTTAATTTCAACAATAATTACCATTTGCTTTAACACAAGGATTATTGGGACCACAACTGGAATAATGAGTGGAATAGTGAGTAGAATGATATGAATTCTTATGAAATGGTATATAACGTTGAGTTTTAATCACTTTTAGGGATTTGTTTTCAAAATCATTGATTGAATTGTCATTATTTTTTGAATAAAGCGATTTATACCACTCTTTAGTCCTTTTATCGGCCTATATATTAGAAAAATAGTTACTTTATCACGAATTTAATGGTTAAATGCTTAAAGACTTACATTCGCCAAAAGAAAACCGCAAACTAATACAACAAATACAAGTTTCATATCCACAATAAATTATTTTTTAGATCAAAGCAATAATTTGTAAAACAAATGAAATATATTGTTATAAAAAAGAGTTTGAATCTGAGTTTTTTAATGTGGGTTTTCTGACTCTTCAGCAGTCAATCCCCTGAGAATGTCGTTAATGTATTTCCTGTCGCTCTTCTCAGAAGAGAGAGACAAATCCCAAAATTGTATTTCATTATTAGATGTGATGACAGCTATTCGTTCGCTATTCTCAATGGTGTCGTAAACCAGAGATTTTGCGTTTATATTCTCGCCGACAGCGAAACTGAACGAAGCGTTTGAAACGTTTGTATCATTTATGGAGTATATGTAGACTTTTCCGTCGACGCCGACGGTTGCGATAGTCGGTGAAAACGGAGACCATTGACCGCTCACTAGCGGCACATCCGTATGAATCACCACAAGAGGCACTGTTTGCAGAATATTATAAATTCTGAGTTCACTGTCAGAACTGCACGAAAAGAATATATTCCTCGAAATGGGAGAGAATTGAACGGCAGTTATATGCGAGCGATGGCTCGCGTATGACATCACTATTGGATTCTTGTATTCAATGCTCTTCTGTTTGGTCACAATTGTTGAATAAGTTTTACTTAACACTCGTTTTGCGCTCAATAAAGAGCACTGAAATATCGCGCCGCCAATTGTGCCGATAATGAAGATGTTTGGGTCCTCGCAATTGAAAGACATGGACACTATTCCCACTTCGGCTTCATTTTTGTCACCTTTGATTGGAATAGTTCGGGGCATGTCTTGAGCTAATACTACAAATGCATTATCTAGTTGTATAGCCTTGTCGTGTGGCCGCCAAACCATTACTTTTCCGTCTAACCCACAGCTCACTATTTGACCAAAATCTGATCGCTTGTCTTGTGGTAACCAATGAATATGTGAGACACGACTTCGATGAGCCATAACAGAACTCAACACATACTCGTCCGTATTTCTAGTGTCCATAAGAAATATTTTTCCGTTGATTCCTCCCAAACAATAGATGGACGGCTCTGTCGGATGACTGATCATTACAGAGACACAGCTATCGGTTTCCAACTCAAACGACGGCTCATTGCTTTTGGATGTCTTATACAAACTCCAGAGCAATGCATACGATTCGTGAGTACACCAGTCGTCGTGTTGACTCACTTTGTATCCGACGGCCAGAACCGATGCGTTGCAGTTCCAGCAGATGGACGACACCTCGTATTTCATATCCCTATTACCTGTCATTGATTTCAATTCTGTTGATTCAAATCGTCGACTTAAAGAGGCCTTCGCTTTGCCATTGCTCTGAAATCTGGCGATTCTGTCAAATATATCGCTATCTTTAATATTCTTGATCTCTTCGATAGTGATCTCTGAAGCCTTTTTAACAAATGCTGTCAATTCTGGAGAATTAAATGTCTTCAATGGTCTGGTTTTGTGGATATCTATTAAGTCTGACGTTTGTGTCTCAATACTATTTATGGATATGTGTTGAACACCACTTTCCACGGATTCTATGCCATGGGTTTGGCTTTCATTGTCTCGGGTTATCTTCTCACTTCTCCAAACGGATCCCACACTAATCCCATCCATATGTGTGTCAGAGAATGCCATCATTTGATTTCAAACCACAACTTGTATTCAATTAAATAACCATTTGTTTGTATTTATTCCTATTATTCTTGTGTTTCTATCGTTACCTAACTTTTAAAAAGTTATCAATTTATACAATAATCTGCTTTATATATAGTAAATACTATCCAAATAATCATGGTTAATAATGTTTTACTTTCTAATATATTTTTACTGTAGTAAATGTGAACAAATTATATTGAAATTAACTTAAATATAAATAAAATTCAGTGATTATTAAAATGATATTGTGTTGAGACTTGTGTTGAGGCACTGCTTAACTGTAATGACTGTAGGCTTTGCTGTAAAGCGAGTGAACAGTAGAGGGAGTAATGGTTTGAGTGTTTTGTTTGCAAACAAACACTCATTTGTCGAGACATTCATTGACTGATCCATTGATTTGTTGACATCACAAGTGGTTTCCCACCGAAGACATGGAGTTTGCGGAACTGATAAAGAGTCCCAAATTGGATGCCATTCGAGTGGTGTATCCGATCGACAACTCAATGGAGGCCACGCTTTGCATCACAAGTCATCATCTGATTGTCTCCTCCAGAACTGATTCCTCTCAGGAGTTATGGGTATTGTATTGACACTTCCGGTGAATGACAGACACATAGTCTTATTGTGGTGTCTGTTGTGAACAGCTGTTGCACTCCATGATAGACATCGTGGAGCGGAAGCCGAACGTGAACTCCACGGGCGGAACAGTTGTGCTGAAGTGCAAAGACTTTCGGACCATTGAGTTGGAGATCAACGGATGGATGGAGTTTAACAACGTTTGCAATTCAATGGACTGGTTGTCTAACTTAGACGACCCGCGACTCCTATACCCGCACTTTTACCGAGCGATCTATGATTTGGTCGAAAACGGTTGGAACGCCTTTCAGATCGAAACCGAATTCTCGAATCTTCTCATGTTTTCCGACGACTGGCGGATCAGTTATGTTAACAAAGATTTCGCTGTAAATTATCGCACAATCATTTCCGCGTATTGTTTTTTGTATGCATTTGTTTGCGTTTGTCATTAGGTCTGTCCCTCATATCCCGAGGCAGTGATTGTTCCCAAACCTATTGACGACGACTGTCTGATAGCAATCGCCTCCTTTCGATGTTTGGGTCGGTTTCCAGTTCTCAGTTATTTCCATAAATCCGCTAAAGTATTGATTCATCCATTAAAGCTATTGTATTAAACATATATTGATTAATTGGGAAATATCTTTAGACTGTTTTGTTAAGAAGTGGTCAACCGATGGTCGGAACCAATTCTAAGAGGTGTAAAGAAGACGAGAAATTAATTAATACAGTATTGGGTTCTGGAAAACGAGGTTATATTATAGAAACACGGACTCAAAACTTAGCACAATTGGCCCGAACTAAAGGTATGCAAAATGTGATCACAATTTTGTTTTATGTTTTGATGAAATTCTCTAAAAAGGCGGAGGTTTTGAGCCCGAAGTTCATTACCCACTTTGGCGTCGCGTTCATAAACCTATAGATAGACACTCGACTCTATTGGACTCATTAAGCAAATTAATTGAAGGTATAGTTTGGGTTTAAATTTGAAATCAATTCATATCAAAGCATATATTTTTGTATTATAGCGTGTAATGACACGAAGGCTTCGATGGATAAATGGTTATCACGATTAGAGTCTTGCGGTTGGCTCACGCATATCAAGGATGTACTCAGCAGTGCTTGTCTAGTGGCCCAATGCATGGATCAAGAATGTCAGTCCCTTTTCAGTACTAGTAATTAATGTAAACATTTAATGATGTTTTTATACGCGCTGTTTAGTGGCCTCAGTGTTAGTGCACGGATCAGAAGGAATGGATTCAACACTTCAAGTCTGTTCGTTAACTCAAGTCATTCTGAACCCCGACTGCCGTACAGTACATGGCTTTGAAGCGCTGATAGAGCGCGAGTGGTTACAGGCGGGCCATCCATTCGCCACTCGCTGTAAGCACAGCGCGTATACCATTCCCAGCGCCCGCACTCGAGAACAGTCGCCAATATTTCTAGTATTTCTGGACTGTGTTTACCAAATATTCAATCAGTTTAAGTGTTCGTTTGAATTCAATGAGAAGTTCTTAATTTATATCTTCGAACAAACCTATGGCTCACAATTCGGCACTTTTTTGGGCAATTGTGTCAAAGACAGGAAAGACATGAATTTCGCTAAGAAAACAGTCTCTCTTTGGTCTTATATCAATCGACCGGAAATACTTCAGGATTTTATAAACCCGTCGTATGAACCAAACAGTAAAGTCATTTGGCCTTCAGTCGCGCCCCAGAGTCTGGTTAGTCCTTTCACAATGCAATTAATTGTATTGTTTTATCACATATTCTCTTATAAATACCATTACAGGAACTGTGGAGCGGTTTATACCTTCGATGGGTTGTCCAACAAAACACTTATGAAAAGGCGTGGAATCGTTTCGCAGAGATTAAAGTTAAAGAAAAAGAGCTTAAACTGAAAGCCACACGACTTCGCAGGTATTTTCACATTTGAACAAAAATATTACCTAAATACATTAGTAAATACATTTTATTCATAATTTGTTTATTTTAGGAAACTTATTGATTTGACGGCTAATATAGCGATTAAAGATGTCTGAAATAAATTGTTTTATAAGTCATTTGACAACTTATTAATGTTTTAAATTTATATTTACTATAAATATATTATGTATAATAATAAATTATTATTAATAATGTTTTTCACATATTGTTATAAATTATGATTTAATTCTATATTTATTATACAATTATTGTTTTAATAAAATTTTACAAAAATTATGAGAAATTTATTTAAACTGATTATGCATTTACTCGAGACATCGTTATCTCATATTGAATACAATATGCAAATAGAAATCTATAATAAGCAGTATTTGGACATAGCAGTAACAGGAATACATTATATTGGCTGATTTAACTTTACAAATTTTTGTAAAAGCAGTGATGATTCAATGTTTATGAAACTTGGTTTCTGTTGTCTATTATGTGGACTTAAATAATAAAAATATTTTTATAATTCTGTCAGAAATATATAGATTGTATGAATTTGATGAAAATGACTGTTGAAAGTAATTATTATTATTATATGAATAAATTATAATTTCCTGATAACTGAAGACAATTAAAATGCAATAAATCAAAAAAATATAATTATAATATTTTATATACAACTTATTAGTGTATAAGTGTTGTAAAAGACAACAATGAACCCAAACTCAATTTTGATCATTATTTTTAGTGCAAATAAATATTGTATTTTTAGTAATATTAATGAACAGAACATTTATTTTATAATTTAATAATAATTATTGTATTAAATAATAAAAATGTATGGACAATATTTGTTAATAAGAATACAATTAAAAAGTTCATTCATCCGAATAATTTACAACTAGAGATAATCAGAATATATATTTTTCATGGTCAAATATGTTATATAGCATTTACTAAACAGTGGTCAAAATTTGACAGTCAAATATTCACTTACATTTATATGTTATAATTTTTAAATTTAAATGATAATTAGTTAAATTTATGATCCTTACATTTCAACCATAAAATATACAATATTAATGTTTATTTGTAAATAAAACAAATCGTTTGAATATAATTTAGGGAATAAAATTAAACTAAGCTTAACATTAAGCCAAATATAGTGTTCCCAGAAGCTCCCGGAATGGCAGGAGTCTTCAGGAATCGAGGTGTAGCTCCTACCTCCAGGCGGAGTCTCGTCTTGATATGGGGAGCTCAAAGAATTTAAAACGCAATTAAGGCAGCATATTTTATATAAAATATCAATGAAAATAATTTTGATGATATTTAAATAGTTATCAAATCAGCAGATTTTTAATGTTAATGTTTACCCGAAAATATTAACTCCGTAATCTGGTTTAAAAATTTGAATAAGTGTTCTAAAAGGCAGTTATGAACTTGTAATGTAATATAAACTACAATTTATATACTTAATAATAATTTAAATTATTGTTTTTGCTTTAAGAACGTATTAAGAAAAAACTCAAGGAATTTCAATAAAATCTTAAGGAATCTCAAGGAAAATATTACTTAAAAGTACATTTCTGAAAGAAATTGAAATATTGTTCTGGGAACACTAGCCAAATATATAACATTGTGTTTTAATGTCATATAAATTAAAGAAAATTATTGGTATATTTAATTATTGATAATTTTATCAAAGTTGCAAGCACTGGTAATATATACTGTATACAGTAGACAAAATTATATTAAATTAAATTTACATACAATTAAAACATTTCTCCTAAATATTATAAATTTTTGTTTAAACGACTTTTATTGTAAGATTCCATCAAATTTCACAGATATAAGTAGAGCAGAGATTTTTCGGGACTAAAAACTACTAAATTCGGTCGGGAACCGGGAGTAAAACAGTCAAATTCGGGAATATTCGGGAATTAACGTTCATTCAGTTCAAACACAATAATTATAGATTTAAATCACTTTAAAATAAATTATAGTATGTAGAATGACATAGAAATTGAAGTTTTACTCTTGAAGTCTGTCTTCTATTTGTAAGATTATTCTTAAATTGAAAGAAAATTTGTTCAACATGGTCAAACTCATTTGGTGTATATTTTGTTAGATATTTTATCACAATTTTTTGTGGATTTTTATAGTAATATTTTTAGTTTTTCTTGAAAAAGAGTGTGTTTTAGCTTATTTTAAATAATATTTTGGGATTTTCCCCCTAAAATATTTCAAAATCGGGAATATTTTCAAAATAGGCTAAAATCGGGAATATTCTAAAAATATACCAAAATCGGGAGTATTCGGGAAAATAAAAATGGTATATTTTTACTCCATTATAATCTCCAATACTAACTGGATGTTATTCCCGAACATTCTATTAAGTAATTTTATTCGGGAATTCCCGAATTATCTCTGCTCTAGATAAAAGTCTCTCTTTATATAACCGACAAAAATATGTAATTAATTCGTTTACACAAACTTTTTGAAAGCCCTTATTCATAACTGCATGTAATATAGGGTTTGTTTGATATGTGTTTGAATTTCACTTATATATCAACATTTTTATATCAATAAATGCTTTAACTTTTTATTTCCTTTTCATAAATATTCTGTTCAAATATAGAATTCATAATAAAAGTAGTTTTGGTTGAAATGAAAAAACATTCCTCTCTTTTAATAAAGGATTAAATTTTAGATATGTTTATACTGTATGTGGAGAGAGAGAGAAAGAGAAAAAGAAAGAGAAAGAGAGAGAGAGAG